CTCAGAGATGTTGTTTCATTTCCCACTGGCGTAATAACCGAATGATGGCGCTGTGCGTGAGGTCGGTTTCGAAGTGGAATTCCGGAGATACCGAGTTTCGCTTTCCGCGACGGAAGTCTTTTTGCTGACTATGAATTCCTTTGAGCAAGGAATCTGCCACACCTTGCTTCAGACAGGGCTTGCTCAATCGGTAAAGCGTCAAATTCAAAAACGCTAGGTTCTGAGCTTGTTCCCCGCTCAGGGTCACTCACCTTTCTTTCTTCAAGATTGAGTAGTGAGTACCATTTTGATAAGTAAGTGAGAAAAAACAGGAAAATCCAGATTATGCTAGTCACGTGGCTGCCCTAAATTCTGCCTTTAATAATATGGCACTCCTGATTGATGATATGGAAACGAAGATCAGCGTTCCCGGCATTAATTTCGTAAAAACCAGGGTGCACCGTATGCAGGTGTACGGAGGACCGGCATTGCGGCGGCTGCAGACTTCCTAGTTTTCTTTTCCTGACAACCGGGAGACTGGCTCTGAGTATGTTGAATGCCAGTTGACGATTTCTACATCATTTGCAGCTGAACTATGAGCACGCACTTTTCGTTCTTCTAGGGTGAGTAAACGAGTGCCACGGTATGTGAAAAAAGGCCTAGTATTTAATGATCAGTTGTTTTGTTCGATTTTCTAGTTCTCATTTTAAAGTCTGTCCTAGAATTCAGAAATGTTAAATTTCTGTAATGCTTTAGATTTCTCGATTTCCAAGTTTTTCCTATTGTTTGTTACTTCGTATCATTCATTGGCACGCTGGACCTTGTTGGTCATCTACTTCGTAATCTCGTAAAATGCTCAAGTCGGCTCCATGTCTTTTTCCGGTTCGCTTAGGTAAGGATTTCATAACGGCAGTTTTTTTACTTCATGCAGTAATATTTTCCATGTTGCTTTTACCTAACTTATTTTGTGTGGCTTTAATAAGCAATATAAGTAAATAAATAAGCGATTGTGCACTTATGTAAATCGGGAACTAAATGTAGCAGTAAGTGAGAGATAATTAAATAATTTGATAATGCTAAAATTCATGACGATTCAACGTTCAGAATGTTATATCTGGTATTATGGTTCGTATTAACAAAAGTTACTTTTCGATCTCACAAACAATGAAATCATTTTTGCTTAGCTTTCTTATTTAAATGAGTCAATGAGTGTGATTAAATAAGTTGGTAATTAAGAATAACAGAAGGCAAGTAATTAAGTACGTTAGTAATTAATTAGGCAAACACAGAAGTTCATTATGATTGTGAGCTCCAGGAATAGTTCGATTAATTGGATGTTTGATACTACAATTTTTGACACTAAAATGTTTTGTTGCCTTGCAGATCACGTGGTCACAATTTGCTAATCAATAAGTAAGTGAATAAATATGTACATACGTACATACACAAGTAAATTAGTGAATAACAAATGTGCGTACATGCCAGTTAATGGAATTTATATTTTATGAAAATTTTTTCTCCTATTACGGCATAACTATCCCTTCAGTATGCCACAGCCTCCAGTATTTTAGCACCTGCCATGGGTAGATGGTCCAGATTTTATGACGAAAGTTGGTTGTTTTGATTCCGTCGGTCACCATGTTCCGGCTTTACGCGATATTCTGCAGATAGTATACGACCGTGAATCTGTGACCTGCATAGAAGTTATCCTATGCCTAAATATACAAATGTACGTGTGAAAGCACTGTAATAAAAGATCTGACAGAATGCGATAAATAATTGATATTTCTCTGCTGGTGTCATTTGCAAGAAAATACTGAACTTTTAAAGTAGTTTCGTCTAAGTTCTTTCGATTTAACTTTATTTTAGGCTTTCTCCGCTTTTGTATATGTATGGTGATGGAGCCACCAGCTTTGTAAAGTACGGAATTTGGCGCAGTTGCGTTCAGCCCTTGGAAATAATTGCTGTTGTAACCGCCATTATTTTTGCTGAGACCTTTTTTTCGGTTTTTACATGGAAACACTTGTTATGGAACCCCCTTTATTTAAAATATTGAATTTAGCATTATATTGCTCGGTATGCCGTACGTAATATCTTAGCTTTACGTATGCTAGATGTATGGTCTCCTGCGACAGTGTAGTCGAAAATTTGTCGAATGATGGAGTGATTGACAGTGTCGAAAATGACTTATCTTTGTCGCGGCCGTTTAAAAGATGCAATGGAGGAGACAGAGAATTCACGATCTTAATCTAAGTGCATATGGCAGGAAAGGGATAAGTGACTTGGATATCATTTCTCAGTTTTTGCAGCTTTTTGTTTGATACTTATGGAAGATTTTGACATTTTGGCAACACCTGCTACTGTAAAATGAAATCGATATGCTCATTTCGTTGAAAGCTTGAAAAGTTGTTTGATAGTGTTTTATAGCAATAAAGTTTGCATACAGTAGTTACGCTAATTAGCGATGCTTGTGCTGATATCGTTTTGATTACCGTTTTTATATTAATGGTTTGCTTTAATATTTGACGTTTTAGCTCTTGCGGTGAATTTCAGCTTTCCAGATGAGACGCATTACGTACGTAAGTGAAAGAATTCCACTGAAATCTCTTTACGTGCTCGTCTGCATGGTTGATTGCGGTCGTATGGATTTTGTTACAAATTATGAGGAATTGATAAGAACGGTCAGGTAAAAACGATGTTTGTAGTGACAAATAATGAAACAGTAAAATTATGCATTAATTTAAACTTTCAAAACCCGAAGCGGTGTTCTTTTTTGTGCTAAACAAGTAATACCGATTTGAGTCCTGAAACCTTTGCCCAATAAATGTTTTTTTTTAATTCAGAGGGCAGCTTATTCATCGTCACTCCTAACGATGTAACTTTATTCTTTGATTTTTAATCTGACCATGTCTCGACTGATCCACCGCTTTTTCATTATCCTTTGAGTTGTCATTTTCTAACGTAAGCGCAGCAACACTGGATTTGCTGGTGATGCTTTATAACGGTTCTTATTCTCATGCTTATTCTTATGCTTATGATTTTTTACTGGTACAAATACGATCACAGTCCTCGTTTTCAATGCGAAAAATGATGTTCTTACTATCCATGCAGTCGGCGATCAAACTTCCTGTATGGTATAAACCTTAAGGGTAACATAAAGAACATTCTGTCCATTTTACATGTTGCGGGTATAATCAAATACATTGGGAATTAAGTGGATGACAAGAGTTTTGTCATTAACTTTCGAGGCACAGCGGAAAGGGAATTGAGAATAATAGGTTTAATTTTAAACTTTCCGAATGTCAGTTGTTCTGAAAACATACAAAGATGTTTGATTTCTTCTGGGGAAAGTGGATTATTGGTGCGGTATTTAAAAGATCTAAGTTCTAGGCGTTTCATAATATTACCAAAAGCCCAGCGGACAATGCGAGAAAAGGTATTTATGTTCCCACTGCAGTATCGTGGCTTTCTGTAACCAAAAATGTGAAGGAACCGAAATACAAAGCATCAAGTAGCAAAAGTAATGCGAGTACCTGCCATGCCGTCAAGTATGTAGGGCTGAATGACTAACAGATTTAGATTTAATCGCTAGAGGAGGCAGACAAAGTCATTTTCCTTTTGGCCATTTGGCATATGGATTACCAAAGTGAATTCATTTGCAGTTGCATCGAATTCCGGTTGTAGGCTAGTTGTTAACCAGAAGTTAGTAGGGTAAAAAGTCTCACCTCTTTGAATTTGTAGAGTTGCTACGTTCTACGGGAAAATTATGCAGTGAATACAACCAAATGAGCAACTACTGCTTATGTCAGCCTTGCCTAAGTCGATTGCTGCTATTTGAGCCGCACATTCTCTGCCGTGATATTCAGCAGAAGTGTCTCTGGTCATAACTTCGTCGAAGCATGTTGATATCAGTAGTTGACACAGATTTAAGAACAGTCAAGGATGTTGTAAAACTTGCTTCAATGAGTTCATCTGTTAGACTGAATTTAAGTAAATACGGCACCCTGCGGCATCTTCGATGCAATGGGATATGAAGAATAAGTGCTATTAATATGACTGCAATTGATGGGGTGGGGGACAGTGACTCATGTAGTTTACTTTCCACTTTAAAGGTGCCACTTCCAAACTCCCTACGTGGCATAAGTTTAATTTATTCACTGCTAATTGTTATGAGCACAGGCGTTCACCTCACTGTGCTTCCGTGCAGCAAGAGACGTGTTGCAATCCTACGAACAATCATGGCATTTTGATATAATCATGCCAAAAAGTGCGGAATATATGACTATGTCTAATGTGTGCGTTCTATGGCTGCAATTCACTTTTGCCCACCTGATTACTGACTAAAAGTCAACAAGGTAAGCCATAAATTTAATTTATTAAATTAGAATACATGGTGCTATGTTTTCAACGAAAATCTTCCATTGAGGTGTATGAAATGAATTCATGTATTTTGTTTAGGTCGATCTTGCTGAACTTTCCGGAGGTACTTATTGCTCGGTCATATGAGGCAGGAAGATTTACCATGATTGTGGCGGTAGTGTTTGCACTGTTCAATTTGCGATGTCGATTAGAATTGACTTCCTGTTTTAGCGATCTTACATTGGATCTGATGGTTTTATGCAGCTGCTAAATGATTACAAAATTGTGGTAATTTTGCGACATTTCAGTTGCTTAAATCTATTAATTCAGTTTTAATTTCGCACTAGTCTCTTTAGTAGTGAAATTTGTCATTCTTGGTAGAGATCGCAGTTTATTTGTTGTAATACTGGTTCATCAGCTGTGGGGTATGATGTACTATAATTTATTGTTACTTTAGAGACCGTTGATGAGGAAACCATTAGGATGAATGCAGTTCTACTGGTACTCTAAAAGCTCTCGAAGCTTGTGTGCGAGTTGCGGGGGGTTGCATTATGATGAAACGTCAATATAGTTCATTTTAAACAAATTCTATAATTCATCCTGAGTTTGTGTTTTTGTGTTGTAAAGAATTCTGTGTCTCTCCAATTTCAGTGGTCAGCTTTCATCAGTCGAATATTATTACCTATTGGATTTACTGAGAACGGTTAAGATTATTTTGTGCACACGGGTAAGAATATTCATAGGTTTATAATGGCTTTTAAAATGTTTTTATATATTTTTAGTTGTTCTTAAGACCGTTGGCTAAGTTAAACTGCTTATCTACTAAAACTTCGGAAAACACATGCTACTGTGATTTGCATATTTTGATTTGAGGTCGTTTCGCGCCAGGACTGCAACGTTTCTCTGTTCCTCCGTTGTATTCGACATACTATTGACGCCAGAATGAGTCCCGAATGGAACAAAATTGGGGCCAACTACATACAAGGTATGGAAAATTGTTATTTTTCGGTCCTCATGTTGATTGATGTAAAACGACGTCCCAGTGTTAGTTTTTTAACTGAAAGAGGATTTCTAATATTTTCTATTATCAGTACAGTCTTCATCACAATAGTGTTTGAAAAGTGTACATCGCGCGCACATACATATTATTTACCGATTAGCCAATGTTTTGTATCCCATTTTGTCCATTTTCACGAGTCGTATTGCACAATCAGAGTTTCTGAAGTTTATATTTTAAGTGTTTATGATTTCCTGCATTATCAGTTCGCTGCATTACGTTTGCAGGTCGAGTGCGTCTAAAGACAGAAAAATCACACCGTAAAAATGTCGGTTTAAGCATGGTTGCAAAAGAGGTGAGTTTTCAAGCTTCTGTTTATTCTGGAGACTGAAGCAGTCGTAGCGTATCGAGTACAAATAAACGTATGTCCAATTCTGTGAAACAGTTGCATAATTTGCTATCTACCCTTTATCCAAGGTCTGCGCGATAGAGGCAGTAGTTCTCCACTTGTTTATTAATTTGCTAAATAAGTATTTCGCGTAATGATGAAATAAAACATTTATTTCATTGTTTTCTCATTGGTAAAGGCTTGGAATTTTTATGTAATTCCAAGATGCTATCATTATTTAAATAATCGTGACTGTAAAGTTAACGAAAAATAATCAGCTACGGCAATTATTCTCTAATTATCATTAACATATTTAGATGCATCAAGATTTTCAATGCTTAAATGAAGAGAATAACAATCACCATCATAGCTCTTCTCCATTCTTTGGAGCAGAGTTCTTGCGCTTAAGGAGAGGATGACTATGCAGTATCTGCTTTTAACTGTATCAGACTTTGCCCGCATGTTGCTGTTGGAGTGTAGGGGGACAGGTAAATCGGGTACTTGAAATTTGAGTATCGCTTCCCTGTGTCAGTGGAATGTTTCATCGCCCATTACGTAACCTGATATTCGTAAATGAGTTACTTACCGTTTAAAAACGTAGACTGCTGATGAAATAATTTAATAGATTTTTTCACACGATTATACCGACAGCTGTCCTCGGCCATTCGTCTCGATTTATTGTTCATGAGAAAACTCGTTTCTGTTAAATACGCAAAATCTTCGCGAGCATTTTGAGTTTCTTTATGGACTTGCAGTGCCCGGGTAATTCAGTTGGTAGAGCGATAGACTCAGTGAAAATGTCAAGAGCCTGATGGTCGGACCCCGGCCGGATCACGCCTTTTTTATGAGATAGGTAAGTGAGTACATGTTTTTTGGAAAGAAAACCAAAACTAAGCACTCTCCTGTCACGTAGATGTTGATATTGTCCTCAGAAAAAATGAACATTCCTGACCGATAACGTAAAAACCGGCTTAATGCCGGACCACAAGTTTTAAAACATTCGAATCAGAAATTAAACCTGTTATATAAATGTGAGGCAGATCTGCATTATCTT